CTGAACGCTTAGCAGTATAAGCCTAAATACCATCAGTTTTAATGATATGCTACTGTTACTGTAGATATTCAGAAACTATAACTGCCACTTAACCCCATGGGACTTCAAAATAACACCCTGAACAAAAGCACAAAAAATTACAAAAAATGCAAAACTGCAGTAAAAGTATCCAACCAAATCACTAGCAGAACTGTCCCTGTATCTAAGTGCTATTAAACACTCTAGTAAGTTTGTGGACAATAAGACGCACGGTTGTCCATTTATTGCGTTAACAGTGAAAAGTGTACCAGCGGGCTTCTCTGACTGTTACTGCCGGATGAAAGTCTATACACAGTTTTTTAACAGCTACAAAAGGCACTTGGTACAAAGTGGCTTCCGAGGCATGGGATGTACACTTGCATACGTCGCGAAAAATTGTCAATTCCTCAAACATATTGCTCCTTCGGAATTTCCCTGATTTTGCTGTGATTGCTCCCCACAGTTCACCAATCTTTTGAGGGTTGTTCTGGTACACTTTACTCTTGAGATATCCCCACAGAAAAAAATCTGGGGGAGGTTCAAGTCCGATGAATTTTGTGCCCACACAACATCACACTTCCTGCTGATCAGTCTCTCCTCAAATTGCTATGTAGCAGTGCTGAGGAAGTTTTAGACATCACTGTGACAATTCAGAGGGACAAATCAAGATGGACAGTGGTTCCAGCAAGAGAGGGCCACCCCACACGTCAAATGACTCCCCAGCCTTAGTGATTTCAGGAGTTTTTGAAATTTGATGGACTTTTGTAGTATTTTTTTTTTTTGGCTTTTTTTTTTGTGGGGGGGGTTCACTCTGTATGCACGGCGACGACGGCTGACGAAGACGGGCACAAGTTCAGATACGATGTGATGGGTATATGTACGACCACACTGTCTGTGCATAAAGAAAAGTAGGTAAAAAAAGCTCAAAGAATTGTGGCCAAAAGTGCATGGTAACAGAGGATTTCCAGTTTGATAACCGATGCAATCAGACCTTAAAGCATTTTTATACATGTAAAATCGTTTTAGAATTAAAAGGAAAATCTAAAATCGATGATTTTATTTCTGATATAGTACGATGACAGCAAGATCCTATTGGTTATTTATTTATTTATTTTTTCATTCCGACCTTTTTTATTCAGGTCTTCTCCATTTCACTTCTAAGAAGTGTTAAGGCTGTCAATACAAATGCATAAACATCAGCACCGAAACCTTTTGACAAAAACAAACTGAATAATACGCGCTTTAAAAAGTTTACCTGGACCAGTTAAAGTGCCTTTATCGCAGCCATTTTACTACACAAAGGGTATGTTAGAAAAAAGTAAAGATAAATTAAATTCAGTGCAAATAAATTTAAATTTATGTTCATGTAAAATCGCTTACACCACGATCTTATTGTTTATTTATTTGCTTATTTTTATTTTACACTTCAACCTTCTGTATTCTGGTCCTTTCCATTTCATGTGTTGTCAATACAAAGGCATAAATAGGCTACCAGCACCGAAACCTTTTGACAAAAACAAACAAACTGAATAATACGCGCTTTAAATGTTTACCTGGGCTAGGTTAAGTGTTTCTAATCGCAGTCAATGTACTACACAAAATGTATTAGAGAAAAAGTAACGTTAAATTCAGCGCAAATAAAAAAACTTGAGCAGGAGCCAACTATGAGGCTTCTGTGGGTTTACGATTGATCATGCGCATAAATGCGTCATTCTTTCTTCCCCTGGCATCTGTTGCTATGTACGCAATGCATATCACTTCAACAAACCTACAACGCTAAACACAGATGAAAATCCCAGCTTCCTCTCTTGCAAATGGCTTTAATTGATCCCCTCCATAAATTTCCATCGACCATTGGTACTTTTACGTTCAGCTAATTATGACGATGCGTATTTATGTGTTTTTGCGTTATTCTCCTATTAAATATAATTTTGACATTTTGGCGTAAGTAATGAAAAATATCCCAGTAGCTTCAAGAGATGCACTTAGCTAATATGCGAAAATGTTGATTGTGTGCATGTGCATCTCATCAGTGTCCTTCTCATGAGCTATATCAATAAAAAAAAAACAAATGCACCCCTTCCCGACTTAATACAAGTTGTTTCCATAATGGAAAGATGATTAAGTCAAGAACAACAAACAGATCTTCATGTTTACTTGACAGCCAGTCCCTCACTATGATCATTATTTTTCAGAGTTCAAAAAGCGTCAGATTTGTTACGGAAATCATATCAAAGCTATTTATCTTTTTACATCCAATGCAATTGCTATTTCCTCGAAAAAATTTGATAAGTTGACACTTACCTAAGACATACGTAACCTGCCAACGAAACAACTGGAAAGCTGCCAAAATCATTAAAGGGCCTAACGCATTTTATTGACATAAACAAGAACAGCAAGGCTCTATGGCGAGGGTGTCGCACCGGGATTGCGACAGCTTGGCGTATGTTTTTTTTTTTTTTTTTTTTTCACTCTTAGGCTGAGGCTTTGACAATGTTTGATGTCAGCATCATATTCATCCACCAGAGTTAATGAACTTAGAATGGATAAAATCCCTCACAACAAAATAACACGATCCTAGGCTAGGCCCCTGGGGACGTGTGCTTTGATGGCGTCCCTTCTTCAACTTCTTGCTAAAACCTACCTGTATGAGAGCTTTCGGAACATTCGGGTTTTATCTGTTTATCTGAGGCGCTGTGAGATTGGAGCAAAACTTCTTTCTCCTAGTGGTAGGCCTAACTATCTTGGTGTATCAGGGCTTCAAACGATTACGATTTTCTTTCAACACCTTAATGTCATCCATTTGTCAGCATTTCATGTCACGTAATGATACCATATCAGAGTAATATTAATCCCCAAATAAATCTTCCCGGGCACTATCACTTTTTATCAATGCCATGCTTCTATCAGCTACATTATTAATTTCAGACCTTCCATGGTGATGAATTAGATGGAGATAAGGCCTATATGTGTACCCATGAGCTTTCACTTTCACCACTCGATAAATAGGCCTACAGAAAGTCCTGTTTTTAGTTGTTTCTTTTCAGCTACCTTTTTATCTGCAGACGTGTCAATATAATCAGGGGCGGAATAAGGCCGTCTTCTGGGTCTTCCAGAAGACGGTCAGATTTTCAAGTTTACATTGACGGGTATCGATTTTTTCTGTCGGAAGACGGTCAAAAATGGAGGACGGGTCAACAAAGTTACTTTGGAAGACCGTCAGAAAATATCTTTGAATCCGCCCCTGATAATGTACTCACGGAAGTGCATTTCTTTTCAATCGATTTCATATCTTTTATACTGAGGTAAAACTTTTAAAAATTCATGAACTTGAGAATCAAAGAGTGGCAGGATCGATTCTCAAAGAACTTTAGTTTTGTAAAAAAAAAAATCACCATCTGAATACAAAGATTTTGAAGGTTTTTATTCAAACCTAGAAAAAGTTGCTCGTATCTCATTCAAGACACTGTTTTTAAGATTTTGGCCTAGAAGTAAAAGCCCCTCCCTCCACTGACGTAGTTGCATACAGTGGGGTGGGAGTTTGGCGCGCGCTATATGCCTACCTCCCCCCCCCCCCTCCCCCCCCACCTAACGGCCTCTGCGCCTTTGAGATTTCAAACTTCCTTTATCATTTTACGCAGAGCACGAAAAAAACTGTTTTATACGAAGACATCTTTTCTGCCGAACTTCGACGCTTACAATGATAAGATAAGATTCTTTATTGACAAACACCTTCACATAAAGCAAGGAGTTATAACTCCTTGCATAAAGGTACAATCAATTACAATACTGGTAACTATAACATAGAACAGAAAAATAAATAGATAAATAAATATATATATGGATTAGCATATGGTTGACATCAATGACTATACAAATGGATACCATTTCATAATCAATTTACCAGGTTTGATCTAACCGCCCAGTCACTGCTGACAGCGTCTAACGGGTCTCACACTGGTATCATGATCTGGTTTGGACATGCGCAGAAAGACTTACTCTCTTCTCCATGCATTTCTGTACAAATATGAGGAGGGGCGTAATCACATCCATTTCTTTTGTACTCATGATGTGTATAAACATATCCGGGGGAGAAATGGCATTCATATTACAGAGGAAACTTATATTTTCGAAGAAGGTTGCCCGTAATTCTTTATAGGCCTCGCATTTCAGAATAAAATGCACGTGCTTCATCTTCAACCTCTCCATCTTAGATGGGGCGGGGTTGGGGGTTTACTGTACCTCCCCTTCTCGATATGGAGTAAGTGAGCACTGATTCTTAGTTTACAAAACATAGCCCTCCGCGCTTTATCAAAGGTCAGCACATAATTTTCGGTCTTAAAATCCTTCTTTAATTTTGTATATGTTCTCAGTTTGCTACTTTCCTTAATTGCCTCCCCCCATTGAAGGTCATGCGGGGGCGTCTCGATAGTCCGAAGGTTCATTGGTCCGAAGGTTCATTGGTCCGAAAAGTGGTAACATTTTCATCGATTTTTTAATCAAGGGTTCATTGGTCCGAAGGTTCTATAGTGAACATTCGGACCAATGAACCTTCGGACTATTGAACCTTCGGACTATCGCTACGGCCCCGGTCATACACTTTCTCGAGAGAGACTCGGGTATTTTTTGTTGAGACATTATTCAGTTTGGCTAGTGGTCTATCCCAACACTCTACTTCACCACTAAGTTGGAGTATTTGTTTTATTCATATACTGGTAAAAATGTACACCTACCGGTCTTATATATACTGGAGTCTTTAGATAATATACTTTTATTTCACCGATGTGTAAGACAATATTGCACACATTATTATAGAAATACATTCAATCAAAATTATTTGAGCTTTAGAATTCCATGCTCATACCAACAGTTTTTCTTACAATTAATAACTGCTCAATATCCCGCTAGGTACCTTCGCATAAACTATTTCATTGGGCCTAGCTTGACAAATGCTCTTTTCGAAAAGGAGGAAAAAATGAAAAAGCATCACCAAAACGTGCGATGATCTTCAGTCGGCAACCTGTTTCTTAGTATGCTGTTGACTAAGTAGTTAGGTACACGGTGAGCCGTTGACTAGAAGCAGCATGGCGACGCACACTTCGAAGTTTTGGAAACCAGGTAAGCTGTATGACAAACACCATCCTCCCTTACCGGATAAAAAAGAAAACCATGTATAAGAGTTATGGGGGGGGGGGGGGGGGGGGGGGTACTGCGAAAGCGCCAAAACTGTGTAAGTTGTACTTTTGAAAAGGTAATGCTTTACTAGCTGCTTCATAAAGTAACCTCAAGTCGAGAAAGGCTCTCCAAGTCGAGGTTAAATCTGGGGCACTTTACTGTCGCCTTGTGCTGCACATATTAGAAGTGACTTTGGGCCATAATTTAGGGGCAGGGTCCCCATGGTGCGAAGATGCATACATCAGCACATTTGATGTAAACATGAACTAACGCATGGGACACTGCTTTGTCAGTTGTAGTAAGATTCTGTTAATAAAGTACGATTCGTGCCCTTAATTGTATACAAATGTAGCTTGACCAGCTAACTATTGCAAGAAGTCACCAACAGTGGAAATTGCTGGAAATGGACAACTTGATCATTCAGTAATTCACTACTGGGCATGAAACAATCCCTGATGTGCTTGTGTTAATATTTTTCAGGCAGTGAGCCACCTGGGTCCACACTTTCTGAGGAAAGGGTGTCCAGCGAGGGTCAAGGGTCGTCTGTGGTTTATAACCCATATAGAAACCTTTCTCTAGAACAACAGAGACTGAAACTGCCAGTATTCCAGGTAAATTTCTCTGATATACAAACTACACATTAAAAAAAATAGTTGATGAACAAAAAACACTCAAATAATTTAAAAGAATGAAAGAAATAGATAAAGAAATGTTTGGGGTGATTATCATATTTTTTTTAAATTATCTATTAATTTTCATTTAAAGCAATTTTGATATATTTCATTCCTACAGCACAGGACCAATATTTTATACCTTGTGGAGTCATACCAGACAGTGATAGTAGTGGGAGAGACGGGCAGTGGGAAAAGCACACAGATTCCTCAGGTAGCTAACTTCAAAGCTGGACTGATACTTCTCAATTAAATCCCTCATATCTTTCATATATCACAAAAAAGTGTGCTAAAGAGTACTTTTTTAAGTTGTTATGACACTTTGAAATATTATTTGCTAGGGGCAGGCTATGTTGTAAAGTGCTATATGAATATTAAGGAATAGAAAAGTGTATAAATAGTACATAGTTTTCTTCTTTAAAACACTTTCATGTATGACCACAATGATGATGAGGTCTCTTATGTATTTTGTATTCAGTATTTGCTGGAGGCAGGCTGGGCAGCAGAAGGTTATATGATAGCAGTAACTCAGCCCAGGAGAGTGGCTGCTGTGACGGTAAGTTGACTTGAAAACATGAATGGTATACTATTGAGAGTAAGACTTGAGTATGGCAAAAATGGATTTTTTAAATTCTATTTTTGTTCTCTTTATGGAGATGTAAACTGGTGAACAATTGGAGTGACTTAAAAAGTAGGAGCATAGACACAAGAAACTGGTTTATACATTATTATTTTCCCAGCTTTTTAGCTAAGATGGTGCTTAAGAGTTTTTTGAGTTAATTTTTTTTTTTTTTTTTTTTTTTTTTTGCATCGTAAAGACCCAAAGCTTATTTTATACAGTAAACAACCTTGAGTTGTTAACCCATCGAGTTGGGTTGTATCAAGTAAGACTTAACCTCTCTCTATTCCATCAGGTTGCCACCAGAGTGTCAGAGGAGCGAGGCAGGATGCTGGGACAGGAAGTGGGGTACACCATACGCTTTGACGATGTCTCAGATCCAGAAGCCACAAGGGTCAAGGTGTGAATGTGTGTGCATGCATGCATGCATGCATATGTTCAGATTATTTTTCTGCTTCAGTTAAAACAGGTCCTTAAAGTTATATATTTAATCAGTATGTGGTATCAATCTTGTAATAAATAAATATTTATTTTTTAAACACAAAATGATACATTTGTTTTGTTCCTTGCAGTTTATGACAGATGGAATGTTGGTAAGAGAAATGATGCAGGATCCTCTGCTCAGTAAATACAGGTAATCACAAAAAATTCTGTGCAAATATTTTTCGGGAAATATGAAACAATACCCTTAGATACTAATGTAGTTATGATTTTTGAAACTATATAGTAGCATTTGGTTTGGTTAAGTGACACTGATTGACATGTCAGCAAGTTTTACTCTCATTTATTTATTTAGTTATTTATTTGTTTATTTATTTTCAGCGTAGTTATGCTGGATGAAGTCCATGAGAGGACAATACATACTGACATTATACTGGGGTTGCTGAAAAAGGTATTTTTCTAATATTAACATACACTAGTTAAATTTTTCTTGGGTAAGTTTGTCCCCCTTGTTCCTTGCGTAGCAAGGTTATTTGTTACTTGAGGCAAGAGAGGCAGATGATGGTTGTGCGGGCAAACTGCCGCATTTTATGTTTTCATTTTTCCTCATTATATTCCATTGGAATACTTTTGTCCAAATTTCTCTCTTTTTTCACACGGAAATGTTCTTTTTATGTACAGACACAGATGTGTCTGTACATATAGCCGTCATCTGCGTCTGTCGTCGCCGTCGCCGTCGTTGCCATCGTCGCCGTGCACTTTTACCGATAACACGATAAATGGAAAACTGTTTTTTCTTTTTGTTTGAAACTTACACAACTGATGAATATTCATAATACGCAGGTCGAGTTCGAAAATCAGCATGATCAGGTCACTTATATGGAATTTATGCTGTTTTTTCACTTTTTTCAACATATATGCAGCACCGATAACACGATAAGTGGAAAACCATTTTACCGTTTGGCTTGAAACTTACAGAACTGATGAATATACATAATATGGAGGTCAAGTTCGAAAATCAGCGTGATTGGGTCACTTTTAGTGAATTTAAGCTATTTTTTCTCTTTTTTCAGCATATGNGTAGTTATGATTTTTGAAACTATATGGTAGCATTTGGTTTGGTTAAGTGACACTGATTGACATGTCAGCAAGTTTTACTCTCATTTATTTATTTAGTTATTTATTTGTTTATTTATTTTCAGCGTAGTTATGCTGGATGAAGTCCATGAGAGGACAATACATACTGACATTATACTGGGGTTGCTGAAAAAGGTATTATTCTAATATTAACATACACTAGTTAAATTTTTCTTGGGTAAGTTTGTCCCCCTTGTTCCTTGCGTAGCAAGGTTATTTGTTACTTGAGGCAAGAGAGGCAGTTGATGGTTGTGCGGGCAAACTGCCGCATTTTATGTTTTCATTTTTCCTCGTTATATTCCATTGGAATACTTTTGTCCAAATTTCTCTCTTTTTTCACACGGAAATGATGTTCTTTTTTAAGGAAGTTTTGTCTATTTCAGATTCAGAAGAAGAGAAAGGACCTGAGACTGATAGTTGCATCTGCTACAATGGATGCAGAGGTAGGGAGTATATTCTAAAAGTTAGAAGTCATCTTTGACATTATCCCTGTAATCAAATAATTGATTAAATTAAATAAGACACATTGTATATAAAAAATACTAATTACTTACATGTTTTTAATCCTGATAAGAAAACATCATCACATATATGATAAACAGTACGTTATAAAATGTTCTTTTTTATGTTACTTTTTTCAGGAATTCAAAGATTTTTTCAACACTAATGAGACTGGGGATAGCAGGTATTGCTTATAATTTTCAGAATTCATATTTATTTTAACCTTTATTTTTAGTATCCCGTTTTTCTCCAAGGTGATTGATAATATATTAAATGTGGCATAGGTTTGGATGCATATTGTACTTATTTTTGCAATCTGAAATGAAACCCTAACTGCATGTCGGGTGAAGAAAGTAAATATAATATACCACAGATATCCTTATTTAGTACAGAATCATGCTTAATTCACTTGCCTACATAAATGTGAAATTTAAAGGATGGAATTATAATGAATTAGATGATAATATTTTTTTAGTAATTGGTGTGTATGTTTCAGGAATGATACAGCAGCTGTTCTTAGTGTAGAAGGACGCATGTTTCCTGTGGATGTGCATTATTCACTAGAGTAAGGAACATAAGTGACTGATTATTGTCCTTATTGTGATATATTACATCAGCAAAACAATCAGTTAGATAAGTATGAATGTTTTAAGCCCAAATAAAAAAGTAAAAATGTTAAATCACATTTGTAGATCAAGATTTTTGTTTCAAGTTGTATGTAAATTGTCCCTCCATCTTTTAAATTTAACAAGTTTAAAGTTGTTTTTATTTATTTGTTTCCACTTGTAGCCCTGTGCCAAACTATGTCAAGGCTACAGTAGAAACAGCCATAAAAATCCACCATAATGAAAAACCAGGAGACATCTTGGCCTTCTTAACTGGCATGGTAAGTCCTATTGTAATGATGAGGATGATGAGGGCAACTAACACTACAAGACCTGAGAGGCTGTTTTTCAACTTAAAATGGAAAGTTGGTCTCAACTTTAAGACATTTGGTCTTTTACAGTTGTTGATAAATCTGTCCTCTTAAGTAAAAAAGAAAAACTTTGTCAATGGCTTTTTGTCAAAAAGTCTGATAAATTATGTACACAATCTGTCTTTTCCCTCAGGAGGAGGTGGAGCAAGTGGTGTCTCTGTTGATGTAAGTAGATATGAGGCAATACAAATTTTCCAAGTCATGAATTTTTGTGGTGGATAGTACATTTTCACGAGGAACTAAAAATGATAAAAGCATCATATCAGAAAAAGTGAGGCTTTTAAATTTTGGAGTAATATCTATTACAACAGCAATTCTGTAATGAGAATTATATATCTATGTCTTGGTACAATAATTACTGTTAGTTTCTTTTCTCTTCTGGATTATTATATTTAACTCTGTTTGTAGTGAAGAAGCCAGGAAAATCCCCAGGGACTCCCAGAAGATGATGGTGTTACCCATGCATGGCAGTTTACCTGCTTCTGAACAGGTACTTCCTCTATCTGGGTGGAACAAATAACAGTTTTCTTTGATTGATATTTTCATGATTGATATTTGAATGAAATTTGCATAATGTTTTTATTTATTTAATAAAACAATTATGATAATAAATTTTACCCCCAAAAATATGATTACTAATATGTGATTTGGAAAATTGGTCATACAAAAATAAACTTACAGATAACCACTTAAATAACTATATTCTTAATATAAATTGTTATGATTATCATGATATGTATCGCTAATTGTACACTTATTGTGTAGGAAGAAGAGAAATTAGTTAACTTTGTTATTTGTTCCAGATGAAAGTATTTCAGAGGACCCCCAATAATGTCAGGAAGATTGTGGTGGCCACAAACATAGCAGAAGCTTCTATAACCATCAGTGGGATTGTTTATGGTAGGGGGAATTACTGACACTGATCTGTGAAATGACATATAAATCAATCTCATGAGGACTCCCAAGGTTTAGTAATAAAATGTGATAAATTTGTAAAATGTTTCAAAAATATCAACAAGTGTTTTTGGCTGTTTATTTGATGATCTTCAATTTTAAATATTGCATTCATTCAATATTACTGATATAACTTTTAAAATATTTCAAAAGCCATATTTGTTGGTTTCCAGTGATAGACAGTGGTTTTGTCAAGTTGCCAGCATTCAATCCTAAAACTGGAATTGGTGAGTAACAACTATGTATTTAGTTTTATCAGAGGTCTTTCTTTTACTACATTACAAGATTTACTTGCCTTTGTATAAATTAGTGAATGTTGCATTTTGAAAAGCATGTGTGTGTGTTGATCAAGGTAAATGTGTCTCTTTTGATCCAAGTACCAAAATAATGCAATTAATGTTATAATGAAAAAAAAAAAATTGTAAGTGAAAACTTTTATTAAAATAACCAGAAAATTTTGTGATATTCAGCATGCTATTAAGTAAATGCTCTCATTACAGAATCACTGGTTATTGTCCCTGTGTCGCAGGCATCTGCTGAGCAGAGGGCAGGTCGCGCGGGACGTGTGCGCTCAGGAAAGGCATACAGGTTATATACTGGTGAGTCACCTGTAATTTTTTTAAAATTTTCCTGTGAACTTTTCATGATGAAAAGAAAGTATTTTTCATACCTGTCATCTTTTGATACAGTGTGCCCCAACTACTTCCTTGTTTGATTAATCAATTTCAGAATTTTTCATGTCATATTTGCAGACATCTTTTTAGCAAAGATTTTAGTTGTCTTCTTACGAGTTTTGACACACATCTTGCTTTTGTGACTGTCTGATTTAAGAGTGGCAGTGTCACATATAATTCACTATTATTTCTATTTCCAGAGGAAGCCTTCCACACTCTAGCCCCCAGTACAGTACCAGAGATACAGAGGGCAGGTATGGCCAGTGTGGTGCTACAACTCAAAGCTTTGGGCATTGATAATGTGGTCAGGTTCAACTTCCTTTCAGTGAGTAATCATGATGTTATTCTTAATTCTTTATTTTTTAGCAGTGTTGGTAGCCAAAATTTTCTGTCACTTTCAGTTTCTTATTAGTCAGTAACAAATTATGCTAAATGTGTTACGTGAAGGATTATGATGTAGATGGATGGGTATTATGTGCTGACATGGCAAACTATGTGGAATACTATAAAAATTAAGATAGTCACTAAAAATGAAATGTACATACAAACTTATACTTGTAAATGTTTCTGTATTTGCTTACTACAAATGAATATTGTTTTGTGCATTTTTTGCTTCGAATGCAGAAAAAAATTGATAAATGTACAACTATTTCAGCCGCCCCCTGCCCAGAACATGGTCCGCGGTGTGGAGCTCCTGTATGCCTTGGGAGGTAAAATGAGTTCTCACTGTAGACAATCCAACTGTATCTTGTCTATTTCAATATCTGTCTGTGCTTTAAGCTGACAGGTTCTAAGGCATGTGACAAGAAGATTCAGCATCAGGTTTAATAGATTTTTTTCCCAAAGTTGCTAGTCTGATCAGAGTAATGGATATTTGAATGTGAACTTCTTAGTTCAAGGCACTGTGTTATAGATAATTGTCATGGAATTGTTTGTTCAATATCACTGAGATATCTGGAACAGTGTGATTTTTTAGAGTAATTTAAAAAGAAAGAGGACTTTTAATAAAAAATACTAAAAAGGAAATAATTTGCTATCCTATTTAATTAGAGAAACTGATTTTTTTCTAATATATTTTACCTACTAATATTATAAATTGTATTTTTATTGTATTGTAATTGAATTATATTATATTATCCAGCCCTAGATGACAATGGTCGTCTCACCAACCCCCTGGGCTACAGAATGGCTGAGTTTCCACTACATCCACTGTATGCCAAGATGTTACTAATCTCAGGTAATGGTGTACCTCTTAAACAATATGTCCCACAAATTTTCAGAACTAAAACACTGCTGGTACTTTACTACCATTCCACAAGATATCAGCTAATACATATATAAATTGTAACGAAGAATAATATAATGAAAGATTTTACACAACGTAAAGCATACATAGAATTTTATCTGCAGTGAACTGTGTGACACTAAAACACTATTGTGAAGATTATCACACCTATCACAACATGGTGAGATGTCTGTTGAAACTATGACACTGGTGAAACGTGTTGCAACCTTCCACACTGGTGAACTTTGCATTTAACCTACCACACTGAACTTGTTTCAGGGGAAATGGACTGTTCAGAAGAAGCAGTCATCATAGCAGCCATGATGCAGATACAGAATGTGTTCATTACTCCTCCCAAGCAGAAGATACAGGCTGTAAGAACAGGGTTTATTTTACGTTTTATTTATCTTATCAGATTTCTTTTCTAATCTGATGTTAGAAATCAACCTTGGCATCAGTTTTAATATTAAAATGTCTCATAAAAATGGCTTTGCAGTTATCTATTATTATTATTATTATTATTATTATTATTATTATTATTATTATTATTATTAGAATCTAACTCCTAATTTTTTTAAGCCTTCTCCATAGAAAGAGTGTGGCATAATGAAGAGTGGCAATATTTAAACAGATTGAACAATGTTCTGTTGTTAGTGTTATAGTTTTTATCAAATATTATTGTGGTACCTATTTTTTACCTTCTTTTAGACAAATGCTAAAAGGAGGTTCTCAGCTTTAGAGGGAGATCATCTGACCATGCTCAATGTTTATCTTGCCTTTGTGCAGGTAGGGGAAAATTTCTTTAGGATACTTTATTAAATTCTGTATTTTGCTTGAATTTTTATTATTTCTTTAATTATTATTTTAGTCTTATTTTCTTCTTAATAATGTCAAGATTTACAATTTTTAATTGCCATTGAGTATATTATCATATCTTTGATTAAATTTATCTTATTTATTCATATTTCAACATTTTTATCTTGGTACTTTTCCATTTTACAGCATAACAAAAGACCAAAATGGTGCCATGAAAACTTCCTTAACTACAAGGGGCTTTGTCGAGCATCGGATATAAAGGATCAGATGACAAGACTGCTTAAGAAATTCAAAATTCCTTTGGTATCTTGTGAAGGTATAGACTGAATTAATTTATTTGTTCCTGTTTAAATTAAAATAACACCCAGCAGCATAGGAAAGGGCTATTGTTATTGCTAGGAACACAAAAATATTTCATAAATTTTATTTTGGTACAAAATCTGAACATTTTTGGAAATTCATTCACAAGCTGCTATATTTTATTTTTATTTATTAGTATTAATATTATTATTATTTTTATTTTATTTTTTTTATTTATTTTTATTTATTTATTTATTTATTTTTTTTTTTTTGCTCTCAGGAGATGCTGAAAAGTTACGACGGTGTTTGACTGCGGGGTTCTTTGCCAATGCAGCCAAGCTGCACTACAGTGGGGAGTACAGGACAGTGAGAGATGACCACCCCCTGAGTGTCCACCCCACCTCTGTCCTCTACACTGAGACCAGACCACAGTGGTAAGGTGGTTGGAGGTTAATAACCCCTCTTTCCCTCCCTCTCTCTCTCTCTCTATCTCTCACACACATGATGGTTATGTGCCTCTAACCTCCCTCCCCAAAACACATCTTCCACTTTGCTTGATCAGCGTATATTTCAGATACAATTTTTTTTTCCAAAAGCCTTGAGCAATATCAGCAAAACTTGTCTTTTTTAATGTTTTACAATACAATGAGCTTTAAAATATTTATTTGTAAATGAATATAGATTTCTTTATTTTCTAGTCAATTAGTATTGTTTATTTTTCCATTCATATATTCTTTCATTTATACATTTATCTTATATTCATACATTCTTCCATTTCCTTTTATTTATTTATTTATTTATTTATTTATTTATTTATTTATTTATTTATTTATTTATTTATTTCAGGGTGATATTTAATGAGATAGTCCAGACTAACAAAGACTACATGCGAGACCTGACAGCCATTCAGCCAGAGTGGTTATATGAGCTGGCACCACACTACTACCAGTACGGAACGGTAAGTGAGAGAGAGAGAGAGAGAGAGAGAGAGAGAGAGAGAGAGAGAGAGGGAGGGTGTTGTTATATGAGCTGGCACCACACTACTACCAGTACGGAACGGTAAGTGAGAGAGAGAGAGAGAGAGGGGGAGGGAGGGTGTTGTTATATGAGCTGGCACCACACTACTACCAGTATGGGACGGTAAGTGAGAGAGAAGAAAGTGTGTGTGTGTGTGTGTGTGTGTGTGTGTGTGTGCCAGAGTGGTTATATGAGCTGGCACCATACTTCCAGTACAGGACGGTAAGTGAGAGAGAGAGAGAGAGTGTGTGTGTGTGTGTGTGTGTGTGTGTGTGTGTGTGTGTTGGCATGTTTTTTCGTGTGTAGTTACTCTCAAATTTCTGTTGCATAATAGAATCTTTTTGGACATTGCAAACTTTATCAATATCTCCCTCCACCCCCACCCCCCACCCCCACCCCCAATCATAAGGATGTTCTTTATCATGTACCTTCCTATAAATTTATGATTTTGAGTTTAATAATTATATCAGATACAACTTATTTTCTTTTTTAACTTCAGGACCGAGAGTTGGCAGCTAAGAGAGCAAGGCTGGGTGACAGGTGACACCCTGACAGGTGACACTGAAAGGTGACAGATGGGGGATTTTAGAAAATGGAAATCTCAGAACAAGATTCCTGGTGTCCGGATCAATCAGGACGTTGATTTTCGTCTCAGGGATAGCAAGTTAATTGACAAACCAAAAAATACACCGACCACCGTGAAGACAGAATACTGGAAATATTGGAGAAATTAGGGCATTTTTATCTGTTGGGACCTTTTATCGAAAGAGACACTGCATGTACGTTAGCGCCCACGCTATAACAGAGATAACAAGTCCCAAAGTATTCCAGACATCCCACTGGATTCCCAGTGTTGGCGTCATTCTGGAAATTTTGGGGAAGTTTTTATCTGCTGGGACCATTTTTGAAAGTGGTACGTACTGCTTGCATTATGCTAACTGTGTCACGCTCCACACCCGCTAGAGAGAACGAAACAGACCACCGTGCAGACAGAATACATACTGGAAATTTTGAGAATTTTTTTTTTTTTTATCTGTTGGTACCATTTTTGATAGTGGCACTGCATGTTAGCTGTACCACGCCTCGTACATGTACCTGCTAAAGAGAACGCTGGAGATAATTTGATAACATACGCATAAAGGGTTGCAAATCATTAAGATTAAAACAGCTTGATGAATAATACCAAGCAAAACGGTGTTATCGTATTATCGAGATCTCAGTTACTGGCTGTTCATAAACACAAGGTCAAAGGCGACCATTGTATTATGACCGTTATTGTATTAACATCAGATAACAGAGATAACAAGTCTCAAAGTCTACCAAGAGAGCTGTGTACATAATTGTGCCCAGTCGTTTTAACCGTTTAAAACTTCATTTTGCGACACATTTGACGTACAGCTGTATTGCCTATTGCTCATACGTATAAACGAGAGACAGAAGTAGTAACTTTCACACCAAACTAAAGTGCCAATACCTGGCTTTTGACAAATAATGAAAAACATTTTTGACTATCATTCTTGCTTTTGTAATCCCTGCAAATATAAAACGCGTACAAATGTAAATAAAAGCCGTACATAAACATTTGCAATTGTTACTAGTTATGAAAATAACGCATAGTTTTATTCGGTTGAATAAATAAAATTGTGCCGCGCAATGTTGATCATGTTGATATTTTTGATAACAATCGAGTCTGATGTTTCTCGAGACAACTTTTTAACTGAAAAAATATACGGTATCAATTTATTTATTTTCATATAATATCCACTTTATTCATTTATTATATTTCTGCGTCAAAGAAATACTTCATGTTAATCTCATACATGGTATCAATACTGGTGCATAGAAGAATGATAGTATAGAAAAATGAACAGTCGAGCACCCTGCACAGTTAATGTTCACAGTTCGCAGTCACAACACTTTAAATAGTTTACATTGCACTGTAAATAGTTATCTTGATATGCGCGTCAAAATGATCAAGTCTCAATTTCAATATGATAAATTTCTAAAGAAAACTCAATAACGCTTACTAACTTGTGCAATAGAGCAACCGCTTTGAAATTAAAAAAACGTGACGTGGGGATAAGTCGACATGAAAAACCATTTTCAAAAGCTTAATTGGCTCATCTCAGTAGAACTAACTGGTCATTTACATGGGTGCAATTTTTTTCATGTAAATGACCAAAATATAATTGAACTAAATTATGTTCAGTGATGAGATTTATTCTCGTCGTAAAGAGTTCGCATTGTCTGCTTGCCGACGCTCCCAAAGATGTCTTCCACCACCAACGTAATAACCTTTGAGTGTGGAATGTCAAAGAACACATTTCGCCGTTTGGAATCCACGTCCGACGCAAGGAATTTCCCGTCGACTTCCAGCGTGTATTTGAACTGCGGGGTGCTGTCTGCTTCCAGCATCCATTCAACGCCGTGGGGGCTTACTGACGTTATTTGAAACGCGAGCTCGCCGCGCGGGGACGTGCAAGAGGCGGAAACGGCAGGAACAAATTCGGCTGAAGGTTTTAGTGACTGCGACGGCGACGTACAACCCCCGCTTGCTAAGTAATAGTGATCGAACCGATTGTGGCGCTTGGAATTGCACGCGAACCCAGCATCGTAGGCGTTCTGGAAATGCTTGCAACGTTCCTCCTGATTCAGTCTAAAACTAGCGTTCTTCAGCGCGTGCCACGTGCCGGACTGATCGCGCTTGTAGCCGCGTCTAAAATACACGTGACGTGAGTTCTGACCGCTGCCCGCCCAGTCTTCTAAGAAACACGCCGTCCCCGGGTTAAAGTGAACACCGGCCAAGGGAAACTCCATGGTCACTAGGTGCGTCCAGCGTCTCTTTGACTGGTCACAAACCCAAAAACCAAACCGGGTGTGGGGGCCGCTGTCCCATCTGCGAGTGACTAGCGTGTACCACGTGTCCGTGTCCCAGTGGAGGGTAAAATTCCAAGATTTCATCCCGGCGCCTTCGTTGCCGAACGGGACCACTTCCGTGCCGGGGTCTTGGTACACGGCACGGATCCCCTCCGGGCTTGTGTTGAAGTTGGGATTCCACAGGGAAAAGATGAAGTTTCTGCCCATAGGGTGGTCCTGTATGCCACAGTACCCTCCCCCGCTCTCGCCCCCGTTCCATTGGAGGCAGCAGTAATATGTATGGCGAGCGAGGCCTGTTTTGGGAACCATCACCTCATGTACAAGTATGTCCCCCTTGACTCCGGAATCTTTGTACCACAGTGTGAGGGACGGGGCGAAGTTGCCCCCATTGCTCGCTGTCAGTGGTGCGTCGTCGTCGCCTGTCATTTTTTTTCAGTTTTCTACACGTAAACCTCCCACAGCTGTCTCTATCTTGCTGTAATAAGCAGTGTGTACATCTACCGGGTATGCACTAAAGTACATGTAGGTCCACAGTGCCCTTAAAACACTGGCGCCTTCTATAATATGCTGATAATTACATGTATGCTATGTAGCCGTGTCTAATGTCAAAGCGCACGACGTATGACGCTGTTAATTTGAACCTATTTTGCTTGCACGTACACACACCCGTGTAGTGAAAACCATGTCCCCTCAGCTTGTTGGAGTTGTACTTGTTATACTGGCAGCTAAGAGTCGTACTTCGTGTTCCACGCCCTGCCTGCAAATTTCAGGGTGCAGATACAGATTCACGTTGCTCGCAAACGCCCTTATATGACAACGGCATCACATCTCACTCCAAGGTGTTTTCAGCTTGACCTAGTTTATATTAGCCCATAAAATACCAGTCACATGGCGTCACTGTGTTTAGAGTATCCCATTGTTTACCTCTCACGACCGGTATGTTCCTCTCTGCTCGCAAGTCTAACACAATCGTCACACACCGAAAAATAGTCTGAGCCTCTCTCCGTGTGCCTGATAACGTCCATTTGTTTAGGACCAGCGTTGCAATAAATTTTTATGAGTCAGATGTGTGTTAAGTGTAACTTACGACTGCTCGCTACACAACCCTTGTTGAACTATATTTAATCTTGTTCTATTTTTAGCACGACCACTGGCGTGTCGGTATTAGTACGGATCCCAGCAAATCGAGGCATATTTGAGACTAATTCACAAAGGTATCTTCATCTTTAGGGGCAAGGTCTTCGGACAAGGACCCCACGGCAGAGAGATAACACTTAAGTTCATTTATATCTAGATGCACGAGAACAAATATCAATCTGTTTATTCAGGTCGCACCAGTCGGCTTCACACAGAAGAGTCTGAATGTAGGCTACGTACAATGCTTTGTACCGTATTGATTGGGATTGCTTCATTCAGCATTATTCATGTCAAAAAATTCATGTGAAAGTTGATATAATTAGAAATACAGCAATCTAGGTCTTTAATTTCCGGGCTTTTGTGTCGAAGGAATATGTTATTCTGCTTCCCACGTGAAAAATACTATAGTATTCTTCTAATATTACAGTAATCTATAAATTATTCAGATACCTGGGAAATGCTATAATCTTCTGGTAACGATATATCAATATACACAATGCACTGTGTTTAAAAAAAGATTTACGCATGTTGAAAAGAGTTTAATGTATCAAAGCACGAATAACGGAAAACAAGCGGCACTTGGTGGCATATGAACTTTTAGTGCACTTATCTGAAAAACAGGCTCCCCCCCCCTCCCCCCCCCCCCCAAACCTTGCCTCACGTCTCTTTTATGAATCCACCAAAGCATTTGCACCTCATATTTTACTACTGAACAACAAAATCTGTAGGAATTGAAATATCAAAAAGTTCCAAACGGAGTTAAAGCTATAATAAAGCTATAAAGGAGAGCACAAATCGTGTAGAATAGATGTAATTCATCGTTGCCTTATCCAGCATTTTGTTAAGAGGGAGGGTCCACATGGATAAAAAATACATCGCTTCGTACGGTATGTACAAAACAGTATAATTTTATGAGTAATGTTCAGAGCACAAGCTAGGGACAGACAATTATTTGGTTTTGTTTTGTTTCGGCCAGTGTGTCTCTCCCCCCCCCTGCCCCCCCCCCCCCCCCCCGATCCGCCATTGCTCACATCTGGTTTCTCTGGTTTCTCTTGAACGCTTTATTCGTCCAATGGTTACTTGAGTACTTAAACCCTACAACTATACAACTATACCTTTTTATTATACGAAATTACCTAATTCTGCTTTACAGTAGTCCCATAAACTGAAAAAAGTGCGCTAAATGATATCGCGATGGAGTAAAATGTGATAAATTATAGATAAAACGGTTAGCAAACTACTCCCTTAGTATTGGGTGAATAAAAAAAAACGGAAAAAGACATATCGGCGTTTATACTTTAACTTCTCAAAAAATCTTGATCATTCAGACATATTGGTACCTCCTTTAATGCTTTTGATTTCAAACACTCAAGACGCAGTTTTCTGATGGAAATTCATTTTTATGTGTAGTCTATTGATAATGTTCATAAGTTAAAACTTTTCACTTTCTACTTTAAGTCTCACGATAACAGACACTGAGGAAGGTCACGGAGTGACATCTTTGTGAGGTATACCTTAAATTTCGTGAAGAAAGTAAAACGTTCAAACTTTAAATCAAGACGCAGAATTATTAAACATATCGAGACACATTCGGCTTCATTAGACGGTCACCCGTTTGGCTACCTCCTTGACGGCGGCGTAAGTCTCTCTCCCAGTGGGCAAGATCTCAGAGGCAGGGATGGCGAAACCTCCAGAGGTGTTATCAGCCGGTCGCAGCTCCAGTGTGTACGCGTACTTGATGCCAGCGACACCTTTCGCCCAGTCGAAAGACCCACCGGCTGCATCGTCTGCTTGTAAAGTGATATACAGAATGATTTAAAAATAGAGATAATAGCTATTGCTATGTAACGAAATACTGAACACCTTACATCGACATTGCAATAAGCGTTTTCATCAACATCGTTTTTCTCGCTGTCACAAAGTAGTGTGTTTTTATGATATTCACAATACATGTATCAAGTACAGTACTTTGGTCCTAAGAAGTATTTTTTTAAAAAAACTAACAGTATTTACTGTGAATCATAGTATTTCAATATAAAATTAACTGAAGACTTTCAGGATAAATTTACGGAATGAAGAATGTATAGCCATTATATAATTGGGCGACCCACTTCTTTATGGCAACAGTGAAATGTGACGAAATTGCACTTTAGACGAGCACATGTATGCTAGAGTAAGTCTTTGTTCTAGTAAAATATGAAAAATATACTGAAATAATAAATAATAAATGTTTACATACACAGAAGACTTCCGGGTGATCCGACACTGTAACTTTTTCCGTTCACATTTTTGATGGCCGTTTTAGCTAAGTTTGCCACCCTCGTCTGAAATAAAAAGGAAAAAAATGGCGACCAGGTAGTTTTTGCTAGTGCCGTTCTTAGAAAATAAAATTACTTCCCTTTTATGTGAAAAGCCCCAGAAGTCAGTCAGGATCTGGCTTTTGGACATCTCTAGTTGTGTTTGATATTGTTCACAAGATAACAGTTGAAGTTGTTGAAGAAGTTAACGTTTGATTATGTCTCTTTGGATCATTTTTACCCAGGTAAAAGCGTATCTGATGCATTTGAAAAAGTGCAAAAGGGCTAAAAGAGTACTGAAGAAA